AGCTTTTGATTCGAGCAGAAAAAGGTCAAAAACCCAAAGTGGTGTCAGATGAAGCTGAGGGGAAGCGTGAAGGAAGGGAAGGGATGGGAGATTCGGAGTGTCCTATTGCAATGTGTGAGCAGACGTTGGGGGTGGATTTCATGAGTAAATATGGAATTTTGCCACCAAATTCTTTTCTCCAGAGCTAATATTCTCATGGGATGTTAATATTAATACAAAGAAAAAAGGCTCTGGGTGAAGAAAAATTATTTTCCTTTTCAGGGACAGAGTTTTCTCAGGACAAGAGTGAAGTTAGAGTTCCAGAAAGTGCTAGTGGAATACTAAGTGTGTTACCATTAACAGACAGGAAAATAGGTTTCCACCTACAGGATTTACTTTGGGAAGTAGAAAAAAAAAGAACCTGGCAAAATCAGCCTAGTCAAGGACCTTTTTCTCTGCTTGGAACCTGTTAAGCTTTCCATGGTGTGTGGCCCTTTCAATCCTAATTATTATTCTGACCTAATGAAGGTCATCAAAATAGAAATGTGTGGAACATGTGACTGACATGACTGTGTCATGCTTCAAATACATGGATAATACATGGGGCAGGATGGGGGTGCATTTACATTTTATGAATTTCATCATAATCCATTTATGGTTTCTCTGAATCATTCTTTGGGAGCATTCTAAAAGAGCCAAAAGAAAAAAAATATGAAAGATTTTCTGAAGCAGCTTGACTTAATGTATAGCTAAATGTCCAGTTTCAAAAGCTGTTATTAAAGGTCCCCAAAATGTTAATATGGGCCACATAACTGTACGTATTCCAAGGTGAGAAGGGCAATAAATTATAAAACACCATACTATTGGAATATATGTTTTTTTAAAAAGCAGCTGTTATTTCACTAAGGCTTACAATGTTTTAAGTCTCAGCTTTCTGTTCTAGAAGAATATTCATTAGTTCACTTATTTTATTTAATTTATTTCCTTTTTTTTTTTGAGACAGAGTCTCACTTTATTGCCCAGGCTAGAGTGAGTGCCATGGCGTCAGTCTAGCTCACAGCAACCTCAAACTCCTGGCTCAAGCAATCCTCCTGCCTCAGCCTCCCAAGTAGCTGGGACTACAGCATCTGCTACCACGCCAGCTAATTTTTTTTTTTTTTTTTATATTTGGTAGAGATGGGTGTCACTTTGCTGAGGCTGGTCTTTGAACTCCTGACCTCAAGGCATCCTCCACCTTGGCTTCCCAGAGTGCTAGGATTACAGGTATGAACCACTGTGCCCAGTGAGAAGCAGAACTTTAGATTCCAACCCTAGATGAATTTGAGAGAAGTAACCCTTGCTTTTGATTGTAAACCAGTATGCTCTGCTTGGTAAGATGAGCCCATCTTCAACTTCTAACCTCTGTCTGGGGTTTGTAGCCCCTGCATTTCTTTTCAGGAGTACCGAATTAGAGAAGATATTTATGTCACATGTGTGTTGGCTACTCTTATGGCTGAGGCCCTCGAATACTTCTGTGGCTGGCATCTTTCTTCCTTAACTAGCTGGACTCCAACGTGAGTGCAAAGACCTGTGATATTGGGATGTGAACTTGCTCACCATGCTCTCTACAGGGATACACTGGATTTCTAATCTAGCAACGTGTTAGCTGCTTTTCAGGAGGATGTTGAAACAATATATAATCTGATGACCTCCACCTTTTGTAATGTAGAACCCTAGTTTTGAGCATATAAATGGGAGCATAGAAAACAATATGCCACTACAGTCAAAATAGAGCCATGCAATATTTATCACCTATACTCTCTCACAATAACTTGCTATATGAAGTTGCACAATTGGCATTCTCTGGGATGAATGCTCTTTTTCTCAAACTGTCAGATGCTAGATTCTGCCCAATCTGTCTTCTGTCCACTCTCCATAAGTCCCCAACTTAAACTACCTCTCATGTTTTATTCTTTCCGTAAAGCTTTTGACTGGCATTATTTAAATAAAAATAAAAGTTAGAATTTATCCTTGGATTAGAGCTCTGTGTCATCTTAGCTATATACTTCACTGGAAAAAAGATCAGAATACTGGCTTAAAGCAATATTTTTTTTAACTAAATTAGTGGACACTAAAACTACCAACAGTTCAGATGTTACAATTTAAAAGTAAGAAAATATTCTGAGGGAAAGTAGGATATTATATGTTCCTTAGTCACTAATTGACAGTTCCTTAAATTCTGATTTAATATTTTTTAAATCATACTTGCTTAAAATAAAAACCGCCAAGCCAAATATATTCAGGTTTTCCATTAAATTACAGTTTCCTTTTTTTTTTACAAATTTTTCAATTAAGAGTCAGGTGTACTTGTGAGTCATTTGAAGCCACCAAGAGTTCAAATGGGCTTTTAAAAGCCCAGGATACTTAGCCAACAATGTGAAAACTTGTACTACTTATACTATATTTCTATTGGAAATATTTCCTCCCTCCCAGTGTCTCTCCTCATTTTCTTTCTCTGGTATCTAGTCATCCCCTCAAAGATCTTTAGAAGCAACTTTTTTTTTTTTTTTTTTGAGACAAATGTCTTGCTGTCACTCCAGCTAGAGTACAGTGGCATCATCACAACTCATTGCAACCTCATACTCCTGGTCTCAAGCCATCCTCTTGCTTCTACCTCCCAAATAGCTGGCATGCACCACCAGCCTGGCTAATTATTTCTATTTTTTTTATATAGAGATGGGGTCTCACTCTTGCTCAGGCTGGTCTCAAACTTCCTGAGCTCAAGCAATCTTTCTGCCTTGGCCTCCCAGAGTGCTAGGATTACAGGCGTGGGCCACCATGCCCGGCCAGAAGCAGCTGTATGTCCTTTATTTGGGCCATCCTGTGGACTAGAGTTATGCTCACTGATCATGAGCATGTAATTCATGATTAACAGGATAATTGTGCAACCATAAAGAGTTAGTGAGATTAATATATGAACTATTTATGTTATTTTTCTTGAGATGCGGGCTGATCTATTAACCAGATATGAAAGTCTTTTTCTCTTGGTAAAACAAGATCATTATTCTTCATCCTTGCCTGATGCTACACAACTATTTTTTTAATACAGTGTTAACATATACTTCATATATCAGACAACCTATTCATATTATCTTCTTTACCTGATAATCAAAAGAGCAATTCCCAAAATGTGTGTCCAACTGCACATAGGATTTGAAATCTAAATTTCAAAAATATCCCCTAAAAAGTGTTGGGTGTTTGTTTTTTTTTTTTCTCTTGAAGCCAGCTATTATCAGATCATACTGCATAACTCTTTTCAGTGTTATCCCTAGGGCAGTGGTAATGCTAGTTTAGATTTTGTTTGTCCATTGTTGCTGAGCACTTAGCTGGATAAGGGAATGAAGGATGGCAGGAGTTCTGTAAAATGATACGAGCACAGAGGAAGCTGGGTTGCCTTGAACAACACACATTTTAAACTGTTTGCTGGAAAGAGAAAACTGTGGTAGCACTCCATCCTTTATGTGATGCAGGGTCCTGGAAAGGAGCACTGTGAGAAGTCCTGTTGAACTTGATATGCACTGTAAAGTCATATTTCTGATGAAAGTTGCGCTAATCCTCAATGTTCTTTATGGACTGACTGCTCACAGTTTGGATCCGGATGCAAAGTGGCCTTGTTTCAGATATTTTTCAGTCTGGATGCCCTGCGCCTGTCTGTCATTGTGGCTTTTCATTTTATTTATGCTATCGCTAATCTCACTGTGAGTGAAGATACAGGCTTGATTTATGACTTAGCATTTTAAAAACTCCCCATCATAATGAACTTCAAACTGTCAGTTGCCATATGTAAAACAGCCATGGGTAGCAAAGCCATCTAGTGTGGTGGCTTTGGGAGAGTGGGTGTTAAAAGAAGTTTTGGAGAAACCTAGGGATTTTTGCCTTTTGTGGGGGGCTGAGTAAAATAGATGCATCAGTTCTAATGAGGCACTTCCTGCCCAGAGTCACTGGCAGAGCAGCCTCCTCCTAACAGCTGCAGGCTTGAGAGACCTCATGCTGCTGGCCAAGGTTCATTCTGTGCTTTGACTGAGACCACAGCCAGTAAAGCCAGTGTATAACCGTGGAAAGAGTTTCCCATTTTTTTCCATTGGAGAAGTCTTTTGTGAGGTTAGTTTGACTGTTCCAAATTAACAGTAGTGGTCATTGCTCATTTTTTAATTTCAACTGCATGTAAACCTACTGATTAGGTGCCACTGAGGGGAAATCAGAGCTTTGTGAGGAAGATACTTATCCTTTTGTTTGGTATTCCCGAAAGCACTGGTTCCCAAAGTAAAGTCTCAAACCCAACAACACCGGTATCAGCTGGGAACTTGTTTCTACATATTCTTTGGCCATCTCAGACCTACTGAGTCAGAAACTCAGGGGGTGGAGCTAAACATTTGTGTTGCAACAAGTCCTCCAGGTGATTCTGATGAGGGCTTAAGTTCAAGAACTATGCTCCTATACACTTGATTATTGCCACCTCTGAGTTTTGGTGTCTATCCCAAAACAAAAATATGAAAATGCATTCTCTCCTAGACGATATACAATCACCTTTTAAAATACAATACAACCTTTTAAAATTTGGTTTCCAATACTGTATATTCTCCCAGATGTCCAACCTACAACTCCAGTCCCAAGTGAAGGACTTAAAACAGCTTCCAAAGATGCTTGAATTATTACCAGAGGTTACTTCCCCGCCTGCTTCTTCTAACAGACTTCTTTCCATCAACCAGGACTCTACCCATTCATCAGGATCATCATCAAGAAATCCAATTAAATCAGGACCTACAGTGTACTACTTCTCCCCAGTTTGAAGGGCAGAACCAGATTGATTATCTAGAAAGGGTGTGAATGTCTTTAGGGCCAAGTCGTAATCTTGCTTTTTCTCCCTCCCAGGAACTTGGGAGCAACCTGATTTAGGGCAGGTTATCATTTCCTGTTCTATGTTGTCATTTCACATGCAGTTTTGTGTTTTCCTTTCTCTTCCAGTGGCTCACAGTCATCCACAGTGTTTCAGAGTAACATTTCTAGACTTTGACATTGTCATCTTGAGAAAGATTTTGATTTGATGACTCCTAGATATTTAAGTCTCATCCAGCTGTCTTCAGCCAAGATCAGAGATCTATTGCATCTTTCCATCTTGTCCCTGAAAAACGTATAATTAATTTGTCTTAGCCTTTTATCTTATATTTTTTACCCCCTTAAATATATGAAATATTGGCTTGTTATTGATAAAGTTGCACCCTCCCTGCCTTATTGCTATGGAATGGACTAAAAATCCATACAGAATCCTCCAATTCTAAAATAACTCTTTTCAAGATTTAGATCTCTTGATTTCTGAAAATTAATTTAAATAATTCACTGTTCGTACTCAGAGAAAGTGTTTTTTGAAAGATTGTTTATTTATTAACTGCAATGTGATAGGCCCCATTGAGAAGCTTTGCTAAGGACTCCCCACCCAGCCAATTACAGAAATAAAAGTACAAAAGTGCATAGATCTTGCATAAATTAAAAAAAAAAAGTAAGTCTAGCAAACAGCATAACCTCTCAAATTATGTTTAAAATTAAAATGTCTTCTATTATTTTGTGGTCTGGAATTTGCACCAAGTAGTTATGTAGATAATTTGTTTTAAAAACAGCCTGCATGAATATACACATGCATTTTATTACACCTGCTGTTATCTACTTTGGACAATCTTCCCATTGTTTAACAGAGACTTAGGCCAACAATTATATACTTAATATTCCTAAGTTTTCTCAGCACTCACGGCCTTCCACACAAGAAAGCATTCTTTCCATTAATTCAATTTTTTATGTATTTACTCATTCATCAGTAAATGATCGTGAACCTACTATGTGGCAAATCTCATTTAATTGGCTAAAAAACATATATTACCAATCTTAACCTTGTAATTTTTCAGGATTTAAATATAATTTCTTTACTTGGTACACCAATAAAGTTGATTACCCATCAACGTGTCACTATTCATTGCGCTTCTCAGAAAAGAAAATGAAATTGAACTTAAAGAAGGTATTTGAAAGTTGTATATGTTTAGATAATATCAAATAATAAAGAAGAGAGCCAAGGCCCTTGTCTTGTCTTAGACTCCTTTTGAGGGCAAACACCAAAGGTGAAAGACAGGTTGAGCATAGCCATACAACCCAAAAATAATCCTTCTTGTTGCGCTTTGGGTAACCTTTACTTTCCAGAAGCAAGGATCTTGTATGTAAGAATTTATCATTTGTTGGGTATTAAATGAAGATTAGATTGAAATTCTCAGAATTGTTACTGAAGATAGGCTGAGCTTCCCATAGATAGATCTCATGTGAGAACAATTCATTTCTGGAGCCACTGAGATACAGATGTCCAACTGAACAGCTGCCTTCTTCTGTCTTCTGTTACCTCCAGTTTTATTGGTTTTGAGTTGTGGGAAATGTGTTCTTTCTTATAACGATGCCCTTGATTGAGGTCAGATGTTCTCTACCCTTAATAATTTTGCCCTTTAGGACTTGTTATATTTCTCAATGGGATGTACCATCGTAGATACTGCTACCACAGAGAAGCTACAGAAAAACTTTCCCTTGGAATGCTCATGCAAGTAGATGTTCGGGCTAAATGTTCATTACCCTTAAATATTCAGTGTTTATTGCTCTTTTCAGAGAGTGATTACAAGTGAACTGGAAACAGAGTAAGCATCTAAAGGAGAAGAAGTTAAAAACCTGAGGTCTGTAATCCTGGTGTTGAAAGCATGGATGTGAGAAGAATCTTTTGTCCTTTTGCATGTGCCAACAACATATTCGAAACTACCAGATTTCCTAAGGTGACAGCTGATGCCTATCAAAGTGGCAAACACGAGAATGAGACCCATGTTAATTTGGACACTGAGCTCAGCACCAGGACTTCTCACAAATGTTCCATCAATTTACCAAAAGCAATTTTGTCTTTTATCAACAGAATAATGACTTACCTTTTGCTGACAGCATCATGGAAGTTAATTCCCAAGTTGCTCATAACTTATGCGAAGACGCATGTGGTAACATTGGTAATCCAGGTAGGTCTTGAAAAGGTCAGACCAAAGTAAATCAACGCTACTTTAATAATTGCAGTGCATTTTATAACTATTAGCCAGAGATCTACCATGCAGAAAAATGTGTGTAAAAAGTACCAAGATTGGGGGTTTTATTATTATTTTTTGATATTATCACAGATTGAACATTTTCTTAACTCTTTCAGTCAATATTGTATCAGGATATTTGAAAGCTATATAGAAAAATCATCAAATGTGACTAATGGTACCCAGAAAGCAGTTTATTGGGTGCATTACGTATAGATGTTATAAACATGATTATTATATTTCTAAATTACAAGATGTTTCACTAGACAGTAATCTCTTTGAAGAAAGGCTCTCTGTTTTACCTAGCTCAGTGTATGGTATATTAAGTGTTCAAAATGCATTTGCTAACAGAACTAACCATATCTACCTACACTCTCGACCATCTTTCTCTGCTACACGGAGTGTGTTTATTAACTGGTCTTGATAGCCAAATTTGCAAAGTCTTTCAGCACTTAAAAGAACCAGTTGTCTGATTGTATTCATTTAAATTGAGATCACAATGTTGTTCTTGGAACTTCTGCCTAAGGGTTTAAATCATGCCTTCAGTGCCACAAATGACACAACAGCCACCCCAGTCAGATAACAACCCTGTGTCATCAGTGTTAATAAGCAATTAACTGAACATGAAATGTGCTGATTTTTCCGTAATTGATATCAGTAAAGTACCTGTGTTATCATCGTATGTACCATTTCCTTTGTGTTTGTGCAAGAGTATAGCTGAAGGCCTGAGTATGTGCTAGCCATCATATTTGTGGATTTTTGTGGATATTCCTGTCATCACTGCATATTTCACCAGGACTGTCCACCAGATGGTTAATGTGGAATCTTTGAGATTGTAATGTTGGTCCCTTAAATCCTAAATTGGTTTTGCAATATGGGTTTTTAGGGAGAGGGGAGAGACTCATAATATTGAATTAAAACCAATTGCTATGAGATTTTTGATTTTTTATTATCATCTTCAGGAAGTTGTGCTTCACTTCCTATGCAATATGACAGGTAAATCTTTGCTGAGCCTTATAGACCTGCCAATATCTAGCTAATGTGCAAGCTGATTGTGGTTTGCTTGCCTATCCATCCCACCAGTGTTCCTCCACTCCAAGACATTTGGCTTGAGAAAACTTGCTGATATGCCAATTTCTTGTCATTTAGAAATTTATTTGCTTATTTAGGCTAACTGTCTGCTATAAAAATCACTTAGAATTGTGTACTTCCATCCCTCTTTGACTTTACCTTTACTACTTCCTCTCCTCTCCACATTGCCATTGCAATCACAACCCTTTCTACTAAAGTGGTGTTTGGCACATTCTGAAGTTTAGGTCATAAAGTTTGAGCTTCCCAAGGTTCAACTTTTGCAGCTGTTATGTTTGGTGATTCAGTGTTGCCAAAGCAGTGGATAATGTGCTTTTCATCTGTCTTTTGTAACTCACATTAACAAAGCTTCCTAGGCCCTATGACATTTTAATAGTTAGATGGTGCTACCGTGTTTCCCCAAAAATAAGACAGGGTCTTATATTTATTTTTCCTCAAGAAGATACCCTAAGGCTTATTTTCAGGGAGTGTATTATTTTCCCCTCAAAGCCTCAGCTTGCAGCATGCACAGGATGGCTGGGATCTGACAGGGGGAGCCGACCTTGTTGATGGGGCTGCCCACACCTTTCTGGTCACCTCTGGGATAGTAGCTGTCACCATGGGGCAGATGAGAAGGGCTGCTCCTCTTTACTGCTCTGCGATGGGTAGCCACACCCATCACTAGGTCTTATTTTCGGGGTAGGGCTTATATTGCACAAATGCTTAGAAATCCTGCCAGGGCTTATTTTGTGGGTAGGTTTTATTTTCAGGGAAACATGGTTTCTGTCTTAGGAATTGTGTTTTATTTTGTTTTTTAGTATAGATACCATCGCACAACTTGATGCTTGTCAGCCTGAGGAGAGACAATGCTGTTGATTATAAGCTTCTGGTGCATGCACAATAAAAGAAACTATATGTCTTTGGACTTCACATTACTGATGATATTCTGTTAACTGAGAAAGTGCATGCTGTGCTGCACGGTTCCAGACAACACAAGCATTGGCATAGTCATGAACCACATGCTTCTCCCACCTCCATATGAGGACTTCGGTAGGAGCTGACATAACCTCAGTGACTTTTGTCCTGAAATTATCCAATATACTGAACATACGAAACTATGCCACCAATCAATCAGTGACTACCAAAAGCCCAGCGCTACAATGAGTGCTGTGAAATATGCAAGGAAAATAGCATTCCTGCTATTGTAGTTGTTTGGGTACTCAGTAAATATTTGGTGAATGACTTCTAACAGAAAAAAAAAATGAGTTAAGGATCCTTTTAACTCCTCCTCTCTGCATAAAGAAGAGTGGCAGTTTCCCTTTATTTTTGCTTGAGAGGATATGACTATACCAGAATTTAGGGTAGGTTTTAAAAATAGAAGATCCTAGATATAAACTCTACCTGCTTTTACTACTAAAAAAAAAAAGAAAATTTCTTATTTATTTTATTTCCCAGAGAACTTAAACAATTACTCTAATATTCTTTTTAGGCTTAGATGCTAAAGTAAGGATTGGGATATTTAAAATGAAGTAGAGTCTGCATGCATCTAAATGGGTGGATTTTAAACCATGGTGTCCCAGTGACTATACTGGCTGCTGTGTGGGGAGTAGTGTTAGGTCCCGAGGACTCCTGGATGCTTCTGCTACTAACTGCCTGTATGACATCGAGCCTGCCATTCACGTCTCGTGTCTCTTAGCCCTTAAGTTAGGAAGTTGAACTAAGTGGTCTTCTGGGTTACTGTTCATCTCTGATGGTCTATGAGGATACTGTTGAGGTATACAATAATGGCATTCTGCAAGGGCTTAAAAGTGGATGGTGTGTAGTCTGAATTTATACCACAAAGCTGATTGTAAGTGAAACTAAACTATCTTTGAATTATAAACTTTGTTTTTCAGTGATTTCAATAATGACCTTTCTGTAAAGTCATTTTGCTTGGATAATCCACCTTCACCCTCCTTTTTACATATTATATTTTGCTTAAAAATAGGATTAAAGTCCTATCTCTACCACCAATTTACCAGCTGTTCCATTTGGGTAATTTGCTTAGTATTTCTGAGTCTCATTTTTCTCATCTGTATAATGAAACTAATTGTGTCTACCTTAAAAGAACTGCTAGGTGACTTACATGTAAGGGCATGTGAAAAGTGCCAGGCTCATAACCTGACACATGGTGGCTTATCATAAATGTTTCTTACCATCTAGGCCTGATCCACTTCATCCAAGAACTCTAAGATTCTATCTCCATTTACTAAACAGCAACGCACCACAGAAACTATAGACTAATCCCTGAGGAAGCTAATTGGACTCTAGAATTAGCATATTTATTCTGTCAGATTGCATCAATTCATTAAATGTTTACTGTCTTCATATCTTCATGTCTGGGAAGGAGATGTAGATACTTTATACCAACATATATCCTGTACTATGTGCCAACACTATTCTGAAGAGTGTTAAATATTTTAACTCAATCCTCGCAACAACCCTATGAAGTTAGTATTTTTTTTAATTTTGTTTTGATTTTTAGAGATAGGGTCTCACTCAGTTGCCCAGGCTGGAGTGCAGTGGCATGATCATAGCTCACTGCAGCCTTTACTCCTCAGCTCAAACAATCCTCCTACCTCAGCCTCCTGAGTACTGCTAGGACTGAGTAATGCATGCCACCATACCTGGCTAATTTTTTTTTTTAAAAGACAGAGTCTCACTGTGTTGCTCAGGCTGGTCTGAAACTCTTGGGCTCAAGCAATTCTACCTTAGCCTCCCAAAGTGCTGGGATTACAGGTGTGACCACCACACCCAGCCTGTATTATCATCATTTTCGGTTGAGACTATATCTCCAATGGGGAAATTGGGGCACAGAGAGATTTCCTTACCTAAGATTACATATTAGTAAGTATAGAATGCAGACAGTATGGCTTCAGAGCGTGTGTTCAATGGCACCAAGGGGTTTCTTTTCTCTTAGAGGGTGTTTTAAATAGATTTCAAGAAAAGGAAGGCGAGGCAGCTGACGTCAACCACACTACGCTGCTTAAATCTCATGAGGCTTGGTGATGCATTTGGGTTTGATGTGCTTACCCTTCCTGCATTCCCAAGGAGGGGACAAAAAGCATCCCGGTGGGGCTGGATGCTGGAGGACGGGGCACCCATTTCCTGTCTCTACGCTCTAGCCAGTGCCAAGTGATTTTGTAAGAAAAAATTTAAATACTTCCCTGCCCTAACAAATGCAAAGTATACTCTGCCTAAAGAATCCTCTGCTAGTAAAAGTAGCTTTTGGGGCCGGGCGTGGTGGCTCACGCCTGTAATCCTAGCTCTCTGGGAGGCCGAGGCGGGCGGATTGCTCAAGGTCAGGAGTTCGAAACCAGCCTGAGCAAGAGCGAGACCCTGTCTCTACTATAAATAGAAAGAAATTAATTGGCCAACTAATATATATAGAAAAAATTAGCCGGGCATGGTGGCAAATGCCTGTAGTCCCAGCTACTTGGGAGGCTGAGGCAGGAGGATTGCTTGAGCCCAGGAGTTTGAGGTTGCTGTGAGCTAGGCTGACGCCATGGCACTCACTCTAGCCTGGGCAACAAAGCGAGACTCTGTCTCAAAAAAAAAAAAAAAAAAAAAGTAGCTTTTGATTCGAGCAGAAAAAGGTCAAAAACCCAAAGTGGTGTCAGATGAAGCTGAGGGGAAGCGTGAAGGAAGGGAAGGGATGGGAGATTCGGAGTGTCCTATTGCAATGTGTGAGCAGACGTTGGGGGTGGATTTCATGAGTAAATATGGAATTTTGCCACCAAATTATTTTCTCCAGAGCTAATATTCTCATGGGATGTTAATATTAATACAAAGAAAAAAGGCTCTGGGTGAAGAAAAATTATTTTCCTTTTCAGGGACAGAGTTTTCTCAGGACAAGAGTGAAGTTAGAGTTCCAGAAAGTGCTAGTGGAATACTAAGTGTGTTACCATTAACAGACAGGAAAATAGGCTTCCACCTACAGGATTTACTTTGGGAAGTAGAAAAAAAAAGAACCTGGCAAAATCAGCCTAGTCAAGGACCTTTTTCTCTGCTTGGAACCTGTTAAGCTTTCCATGGTGTGTGGCCCTTTCAATCCTAATTATTATTCTGACCTAATGAAGGTCATCAAAATAGAAATGTGTGGAACATGTGACTGACATGACTGTGTCATGCTTCAAATACATGGATAATACATGGGGCAGGATGGGGGTGCATTTACATTTTATGAATTTCATCATAATCCATTTATGGTTTCTCTGAATCATTCTTTGGGAGCATTCTAAAAGAGCCAAAAGAAAAAAAATATGAAAGATTTTCTGAAGCAGCTTGACTTAATGTATAGCTAAATGTCCAGTTTCAAAAGCTGTTATTAAAGGTCCCCAAAATGTTAATATGGGCCACATAACTGTACGTATTCCAAGGTGAGAAGGGCAATAAATTATAAAACACCATACTATTGGAATATATGTTTTTTTAAAAAGCAGCTGTTATTTCACTAAGGCTTACAATGTTTTAAGTCTCAGCTTTCTGTTCTAGAAGAATATTCATTAGTTCACTTATTTTATTTAATTTATTTCCTTTTTTTTTTTGAGACAGAGTCTCACTTTATTGCCCAGGCTAGAGTGAGTGCCATGGCGTCAGTCTAGCTCACAGCAACCTCAAACTCCTGGCTCAAGCAATCCTCCTGCCTCAGCCTCCCAAGTAGCTGGGACTACAGGCATTCACCACCATGCCCGGCTAATTTTTTGTATATATATATTAGTTGGCCAATTAATTTCTTTCTATTTATAGTAGAGACTGGGTCTCACTCTTGCTCAGGCTGGTTTCGAACTCCTGACCTCGAGCAATCCGCCTGCCTCGGCCTCCCAGAGAGCTAGGATTACAGGCGTGAGCCACCGCGCCCGGCCTATTTAATTTATTTCTATTCTTTCTGTGTTTGTGATTCTTAATTGTATGATGTGGTTTACATTCACTGTTTTTACATGATGGGAATGCTAACAATGTGCCTTTCATTTTTTTATGATTAAAAATAAAAAATAATAAACATTAAAATGTAAAAGCATGAGGGATGTTCACAAAGAGTTGTGTGCCCTTGACTAGATTCTTTAGCTATCTGTGTACATAATGGTTTGCATGTGGGCAGTTATCTGATGACTTACTATGGTATAGTTTACTGAGCTGAACTTCAATTTCAGTTATAGTGGATGTAAATTAGCAGTATAAAAAAATATAAGCAGGCCTGAGAATGCAAACTTTCCTTTGGGTAATTTTAAGCCAGTAACAGGTAATCAATTAAAAAGTAAGCTTGTTTTTATACTAAGACTTGCCACATATTGGGAAATAAATACCAGAAAATAGGTACCTTCAGGTGTATTTGTGGGACAGACCTATAACTCTTCTGGTAATAAAGTAAACCTTCTGATGCTTTGAATATTTGGGACTTGAGGGGTTGCATTTAATTGCATTTGGGGGTTAAATTAGGATGATGAGAAATGCATTCTGGCCTTAACTCTTCTAGTTGGAAATCTTCCTGAAATGTATGGGAGATTTTCTCAACTAGCAAGACAATGAATTTTATCAATCTATTTTTTGTGATTTAGACCTGGCATGCCTCAGGGACATAATTCTCAATATCAGTCATCATTGTACAATATGATAAATAGGTAGAAGATGAAGCAGATGAGACTATCTATATTATTGGCCTCAGAATACTGGGTAGCCAGTCAGTCACCACAAGGACTCTATTATGCCCTGTGCAGATTGCTGGAGGGGATAGAAAAATGTCATAATTCTTTGTTGTAGGGAAACTGTCTTATGCATTTTGAGATATTTAGCAGTATCCTTGGCCTTTTTTTTTTTTTTTTCTTTTTTTGGAGGAGCAGAAATAACAGACATAATTCCTGTGAATGTAATAGGAATTCAGAAAATGGAAATAGCAGAGGTCAAGGGAGGTTTTGTAGAGGAAGCAAGTTATGAGCAGGATCTTGAAGGATATTTAGGGTTGGCAAATCAACCCTAAGAGGTTGATGACTAAGGGGTCACTATTTTTGACCAAAAGGAGGTCATTGGTGACCTTGATGAGTAAAATTTTAGTAAGCTACAGTAAAACCATTGGATGAATCATGGAGATTTTTAAAGACAAATTCCTCTTACGACCTAGGCACAGCCTTAATGTCCACCACATGGATATAAGTGGAATTTGGGGACTATATGTGCTTTTCCCCAATAGAATTCATACATGACCTGCCATTTAGTGAAGCTATTTCTCCTCCACCTTTCCCAACCTCCTCTTCTTTCTCCTCTCTTCCTCCTCTTCTTATATCCTCCTTTATCTATTGTTACCTTCTATTTCTTCATTCTTCCTCCTTCTCTGTTTTTTTCCTTCACTTCCTCTTTCCTTTTCAGGTTAGGGTCATGTGGGCCTGTGAGAAGAGAATCCATAGTCATGATCAGTGTGCTGTATCAGGTTTCCTATGGCTCCTGAAACAAATTGCCTCCAACTGGATGGCTGAAAACAACAGAAATGTATTCTCTCTCAGTTCTGGAGTCCAGAATCCAAAATCAGTTTCACTGAACAGAAATGAAGCTGTCAGCTGTACAGGAGAATCCATTCTTTGCCTCTTCCAAGTGCTGGTGGCTGTCAGCTTTCCTTGTCTTACGTCTATATCACTCCAATCTCTGCCTCTGCGGTCACATGGCCTCCTCTTCTCTGTGTCAGATCTCCCTCTGTGTTCTTCTTACAGGGACACTTTTGATGGCATTTGGGGTCCTTCTAGATAATCCAGAATAATACGCTCAATCTCAAGGTTCTTAACCCAATCATACCTGCAGAAACCATTTTTTTCAAATAAAGTAACATTTACAGGTCCCAAGGATTGGGACATGATATCTTTAGGCACCGTTATTCAGCCCAATACTATATGAAGGTTATAAAGAGTTCTCCCTTGGACATATGGCATACAACATTGAGGCCATTTTGTATGTATGTGTGCCTCTCACCTGCAAGCATGAGAAAGAAGTCATACCTCTTCATGCATCTTCTGTTTGCTAGAACTATGCTCAGTGTTTGAGCAGCACCTCCCTGCCAAAGATTGAAGAAGGAAGGGACCTCATTGTTACTTAGTAGTTCCCTGAGCACCAACCATCAGGTCCCAAGCAATGAAGGTCAGGACCAAGAGTGTGCTCCTTATGGAGAGATTCCTATTTTCCTCCTCAGACTTCAGAGGCTATTTTTTTGGTGAAGAAAGTCTTCCATTGGGTGTAGTAGATTCTGGTTCAGTTGGCTAACATATCGTGTTCAACTCAAGCTGGAGAAGATACAAAGAAGCTCTCAGAAAGGATGGATAAGGAATCCTTCCAGCTAGCAATCCTACTAAATTCACATGAGACATCGGGACTGCCAAACTTTGAACTCTTTGCATTTAGCTTTCTTTAAACAACCCAATCACCCACAGAATATTTATATGTAGGCAAGGTTGAGGAGGATGAAAATATAAAGAAGCATGAAAATTTATGCCCACTTTTTTACCTACCTGGTATCCATTATAAGCACACCATTTGCTCTTAAAGGGGAAGTAATACAGATAAGCTTGCAGGCATTTATTTTTATAGGACCTGTGGTCTCTAAAGACTTTATGCATCCTTGCTCATCTCCTCTCAGAATTCGTATTCAATGAATTTTAGAACAATATTCTAATTAGAAATAAAGCTTACTCTTTCAAAAGAGTATTTTTAAATAACTCTAAGACATACTAGTATGTTATAATCCCATATATCAAACAATCATTTTGACTTTTTCCAGTATTAACTTACTGATATTGAATATTGAATGGGGTGCAGTTTTGGAGGGTTGATTTGCCAGCAGTATTTGGTTAGTAGCACCTAATGCCCCATGGAGAAAACCTCTCAGGATCTCTGTTGACTAAGGGTGGTTTTTCTAACTGAGTATTTTTCACCCTTGGCATTATTGACATTTCAAACTGAATAACTCGTTGTGAGAGGCTGTCTTGTGTATGTAAGAATGTTTAGCTGCATCCCTGACCTCTACCACGTAGGTGCCAGGAGTATCTTCCTACCAAGTTGTAATAACCAAAATGTCTCCAGACATTGCTGAATGTCCCCTGGGAGCAAAGTCGTCACTGTTGAGAATTACTGTTCTAACTCTATTATGTGCTTGGTTAATAATAATAGCCAGCATTTATGGAGCACTCGCTAAGTCACTGTACTAAGCGTTTTGTTCACATTAACGAATTTGAATCTCAGAAAATTTCACAAGGCAAGTGCCATTATTATCCCTAAGGAAACTGAGGCTCAGTAGTGTTGAGCAAATGCGCCAAGAATATACAATTTGTAAAGGGAAGAAACAGGATTTGAACCAGCAGTTAGGATTTAGAATTGATGGTCTTAACCATGGTAGTATAGCAGCTGTCCTCTGCTTGTCTAAGAATATGTTGTTACAGACTTGAAAAGCATCTTCCTTTGAATAAACTATGACAATGGATGGAGGGAAGGGGAAGGACCATTTATTGAGTTATTACTATGAATGGAACACTTGAGAATTTCATATAACTTATTTCACTTAATCCTCATAGTAGCCCTATGGAATAGGTATTGTTATATTCTTTTCTTTTATGGGAGAACTTGGATCCAAAACACTAAGTATTTTTACCCAAGGTATGAGCCAGTATAATAAGAGGCAGAAGTAGAATTTGACCCAGTGCTTTCTGACTTCTAAACCCATGCTCTTTCTATTTTACTCTTCCACTTTTTTTTTTTTTTTAACTTTGGAAATATGTTGGGAGGGAAATTTTTAGTCTCTCCATGTACATTTTCTGATTAAACATCTTTTCCTGTAAAAATCCCAAATTACTTATAGCTGATACTTGGAGATGTTTAGCCCTCACTTGTCCTTCCTCAGTGCCTTATCATGGGGTCCAGTAAGATGTGCAGGCACAGGCAGGTGGGCCTGGGCATTGACAGACCTGGTCCAAATCCTGGCTCTGCCTCTCCTCTGCTGTCTGAGCCTGGGCAAGTCACATGACCACTGGGAGAGTCAGCTTCCTTATTTATCAACATACCCATCTGGTAGGGTAAGGCTTAGAAATAATATATGAAAATACAAAAATTATTAAAAATTGCAAGCTGTGTATTTTGCCTCTTTTGTTCCCCACCTTTCAAAGTACTGGCAGGCAGTATTTCCACCCCAATTTCCCCACCCCCATCAAGGATATCTGGAAACCTGACATTTAGAAAATTATGTATTAAGATTTGTTCTTGATTAAAATAAAGGGATCTTGGGATAGATGAAACATCTGAAGTCTTTGTTAGCTAAAGATTTTTCTGATGACTGGTTTGGGCGCCCAGAGAAGAGGAGGTCAAGAAAAGGAGACAATGACCTCACAAGGTTTTTTTCAGATAGTCCATGTGGAAAAGATTATTATGAAATACCACATACTGTGACCTGTATCCACAGACAGCAATAATGAATATCAAGAGCTTACTATTAAAGAAAAAAATTATTTTCTCAAAGCCTAGATGGTGAGCTGGATAGGTAGGACTTGACCTAAGACTTATGTTTTTAACTATAGGAAATAAACAAACATACATATGCATAACAAGGGTGCAGAGTGGAAAGAAAGTATGAGAAATACTGAGAAATGTAATTCTCTAGGACAATACCGTGAATTTCACAACTCAAATATGTGGGGAGATATTAATAAAGTTCTTGGTAATTGTAAATTGAGCAAAGAAAATATCCTTCCAGTTCGTAGAAATATGTATCACATATACTTAATGAATTGAGACCTTACAAGGTGACCTGGTACTCAAGGGAGATGTTATTAAAAAAAAATAAAGTGTTGATGGAGAAGAAGGTGTTCATGTACAGTTCCCTTGCTGAGAATGTGGGTCACAGTCGAAAGAGATTCCAAAAGTAATGTGATAATACTGCATGTCTACTCAAGGGCAACCAGTGGAAATGTTCTGAATCAAAAATAACTCAGCATTTGAGAATTCTAAGAGGACATTCAGTACATCTCCATCCAGAGAAATTGGGAAGGAGGGATGAGTTCATCTGTTTCAAGATTTTTAAGGGATTAAATTGAGTTATGTTATAAATTTATTGTTGAAAATGTTAAATCTCATTGCTAATTGAATTTCACTAAGATTAAGACTTCAGGGAAAGCTGATATTTATCTGTTAGGCAGAAATCAGTTAAATTCAATTAACTGATTTTAAAAACATGTTTTTTGCAGTCTCTGTGTGTAGACCAAGGCTGTAAAACTCAATTACATGTTAAGTAATAATGCTATCACATTCTGGTTATCAGAAATGGTAGGTCAGTCATGCTGAAATTCAAAAAATGCCATATTGGGTATATGCCACTTCAGCAAATATTCTAATAGCAAAGTCATGTATAGCTGAAGAAGTCCTAACCTTTTCTTTTGCTTTCACTCAATAATGGTTATAATAAAATTTCACACCAAGAAAGGAACTTGGAAACTCCCTTGGCCTGTTATTACACAATTTGACCTGAAATTCATTTGTGAATTCAAGAAGTAAAGATGAAATGACAAACAAAGCTTTTCTAGTTATTACTCCTTGGAAATCATATGGGTTCATTCTGTAATATGGTGTGGAAAACTAGGAATAAAAGAATGTTTTTTTTTTTTTCAGAAAAACAATCCATATCATGAACTGTGTTAGAAGAAACTATACTAGACACAAAAGAAAAAAAAACAGATTAAGAAAGGAAAATATTGCTAGTCTGTGTAGGAAGGTGACAAATAGAAAAGGCAATAATGGAATTCATAATTTTTTGATGGTGCTTGATTTGGAAGATGAGATCAGGGTTTAAATATGGAACGTGAGTTTTCTTTCTGGCAGTAATATGCCAATCATGCAGACCACCCCTCTGAATCAGAACCATATTGTGGTTTATAACCTTCAGGGAAAGAGACTAGATGACCTTCCTTCACCTTTTAGAAGAGCCAAGACAAGTCACATAAGGTAGAAAAAAGTTTCCAGGAAAAGGAGTTGGAAGAAGCTACCTCTCATTGACTACTGTCACTTTGGGTCACTGGAAATACACAGACGTGCCCAGGATGTGCGTAGGAGCTTTGGGGAAGTTGGAGACATTAACCCTGAGTGCCACTGAGCAGAGAAGACTTCAAAGGCCAGGCACAGTGAAAGAACCAGAAGCCAATCAGAGTGAAGGGGGCTGTTTGAACAGAGGGAGAGGGGCATATAAAGACTAAGGGCTAGTGGTTTCTCTCTCTCTCTCTCTCCACTGTCTGTTCTAGTGGACTTTCTGCCAATCTGGGCAGTTATTTACAACTCCAAGAGGACAAGAAGGGTAAGGTGAGTCTGGGGTCAGCTAGACAGTGTTTACTCGCATACAGTTTGTCCCTTTGCGGTTGCTCTGTGAGACAGGTTAAATTCCAGTGACAAGGACCAGTGTTCCCAATGTATTCTACTTGTTTACTCTGCACCTGCTTGAGGAGTCTGCTGCTGACATATGAGCTCACAAATACACATTTGAGAAAGGAGAGGGGAATGTACGGCTGTCGATGCAGGTCCACTGTTTCCTCTCTCTCTCTCTCTCTCTCTCTCTCTCTCTCTCTCTCTCTCTCTCTCTCTCTCTCTCTCTCTCTCTCTCTCTCTCTCTCTCTGCCTGGGGAGAGGCTGGGATTCATGACACTTATGCCTCCATCTGTAAACCAAGGCTGGCACTTTTTGCAGCCTGTTTGGCAATTGCACTGAGACACTAGATGAGATGCTGCTTTTAGAGGTTTCCCTTGTTGGAGGCAAGACATGTAATGGTTCTAAGGTGGCAAACTTGAAATACATTCTTCTCTAGGAACTGTTTTCTTGTGAGGATCAGAAAATAGAACTATTAGTCTGGAGAAGAAAACATTTCAACTTCTAAAAGACCTATGTCTCAGTCGTGAGCATTTTCTGATGCCTGGAGAGGCACGGGCTCCTGCAGTGATGGATGCTTGGCGGAGCGATGAGGCCAACCACAGTATCAGAACAATGTGTGGGAATGGTACTCAGTGATCAGCTCTCACTCTTTGTTTCCACGCCATCTGGGTAGAGATTTCTAACCCCATTTAGATGCTATTTTAAAAAGGGCAAAGGGGGAGGCAAATCTCTTAAATGCCTTTCTTTGCTGGTCTGGATGTTAATTTAGTGATTCCTCTGCAAGTTTTAATTTGAGATAATGGTTATCAATACTAAACTGTCCAATAAAAATATAGTCTAATATATTTGGTGTTCCAGTTGAGGACTGAGGCCATAAAATGCAAAGCTTTACTTTTGGTTGTTTTGAAATAAAGATCAAAGAGAATTAAGAGATGTTTTCAGAATAGAATGGTATTATCTAAGCTGATGAACCAACAGTGTGGGTATTACCCTCTACCCCATAATGAAGTTAATTCCTAATGTACTGACATGTATATAAAAAAGAAGGTAGCTCACTTAAAATTGTTTTAGGAGGGAAGTTGTTGGGACCTTGGTAAAGGAAAGGAGGGTTATTTGGATGATTGTCATCTTATTTCTTAATGATTAATGATGAACACTGAGAAGAAAAGTTCTTAAGAATGTTGTTTGGAACATTCCTGCTGCCTTTAGGGTGCAAACACATGTGTGCCCTGTATTCCACTATTGGAACTTGATGCCTCCCAGATGGTACTTCCGGAAAACTCTGGCAGAACTGGCCCATTTACTTCATCACCCAAGGATCAGGAGACAGAGGAATGGATATGGGTGAGACCACATGGTTAGATGTAGGTCACTGTCAAGATTCTAGCTTTTATTTGGGAAGGGGCAACAAATATATTATTAGTAACCTGTTATTATATTACTATAAAGGCATTATTTTGTGCTTTGCTTTCCAGCCATCAACCAAGAGCAGGATGGCTCCACTAAAAAGCACTTACTTTGTTTTTAAATGTCATCTACGTGGGCTCTGTTTGGTTTTACAGGTTCTCATTGCTGCACCTTTGCATTGCATGTTAATCTATAACTGCTGCCTCCAAGTCAATTTAGAAGCAGTCAGGGCATAAATCCTAAAGAGTAAAAGTTTTTAATTGAGTAAAAGTTTTTAATGTGCTTATACACACATACGGGCATGTACATATGTGTATATGTGTGTTCATTTATATATATAATCTTCATATATGAGCATATATATAGGTGGCTTTATATTATTAACAATGGTTTTTGCACATATACACACTACTCTATATTTGTATACTGCTTTTTATTATCCATAATACGTCTCATGGATTATCTCATTCTGAACTTCATAGTCACTCTACACAGAGGTTATGTGACCTGTCCAAATTGACACTTAGAAAGTGGTAAAGCCAGGGCTAGCAATAAAGTTTCCTAATTCATAGCCAAGAGTTCTTTCCACTACAACAGCTGTCAGTGGTTACTGGGAAGGCGAGGGGAAGAAACTGATGTGACTTCTCTGAAGTTGAGAATTATAGATAGTTACTGAAATATCAGCAGTGCAGTTATTTTTCAGATCAGCTGATTCAGGGCAGTCCTATCTACAATTGAGATAAGTTGTTTAAGTGGCCATGTATAACTTTATATGTTTTGTCTATATTATGCTATATTCCACCATCATCTGGTGCTCTTGTTCTTTTATGTTACATATCTTTTTTATTGACTTTATTTTTGACACCTAAGCAATCTTATAGCTATTCATTATACTAGTAATAAAAGGTATGCAGAGCAAGAATCTTGAATCATATTTTTCTCCAACTGCCATGAGTGGCAAAACAACATAATAAAATTCTATTTCTAGTACTTCCCATTAGTCAAAAAAAATTTTAGATGGAAATTGGTGATTATGGCATACAAAATCGACACTATTATTTCAAGGTTAAAAACTGGTAAATTCTTTTTTTTTTTTTAACATTCTCTTTTCATACCCTCCCCCCATTTCTTAATCTAATTCGCAGTTAAGTCCAATAAGAGAAATAAGGCAACTTGAAAGGTCTTTGGATTATTCAACCAGCATTCTCAAGCAGGGTTAGTAAAAGAAAAGGAAAAACTGTTACTTCATTACAGACAACATAATCATAATCAAAATCAACCCCATTGACAAGAATTCTCCATTTGAAATCAAAATGCCATTATCAAATAACGAATGCAGAAAGGCCCTCGGTAATAACTTTGGTGTGATAATGAGTTTTCGAGAAGTTCAGCCTGACCTATCAGACTTGTGTCATTTAAAAATCTGTTCATCCTGTAGGTCCTAAAGGCAAATTTCACCATTGAAACAATATATTTTCTTTGAAAAATAATGTAAAACCTTGCATTCCATGGATAGGGGTTGAGATGCTTTAACAAAGAAAACTCCAAATGTTATCGGCTTACATAGATAGAAGTATATTTCTCTCTCACAGTAGTCTGGCTGATCCAAGTAGCGCAGTGGATCTATTCCTGTAGGTCATTAAAGGACATAGATTCTTTGTGCTTCATTGCCACGTCCTGAATGTCATACTCCTCGGTGTTGACAAAGCTGGGTCACTGCCACTTCTAGTTACAGCCCACAGAAAAGAAAAAGAAGAGAGTCCAGGGCAGGTGTCTTTCAGGAAAGGACAAGAAATGACAGATCTCAATTCCACTCCACTTCCATTGCCAGGAATCTCATCACATGGACATAAGTTAGCTTCAAGGCATGCTGGGAAATGTAGTCTGTAGCAGGGAGGCCATGTTTGTAAAAAACATGGAGGGAAAATGTTGGAGAGTGGAAACAGGTGGACTCAATTACTATAAATAAAAGAAAGTAGAGGAAATGGGATGGGGGCGTCCAGCTAGCAGTATCTGCAACAGCCATGCCATACAAAGTAGAATACATTTATTCAAGCAAGACTAATAACAACAAATCATTCATAAACAATTAGACAATTAGATAATGAATTAATACTGGTAGCACTTGGGTTCTTTAAAAATCATGGTTCTCAAGTTTTTTCAGTCTATGTACCACTTCTTTGGGGTAAAAGTTATGCAGGTCACCTATATTTACTCTGCATAAAGATTTAGTTATGTACCTGGTTTTGTTTTTCATGTAATACAAGTAGATTAGAGAAGTATGCCATTTTTCTTTTACATTATTGAAGAATGAACTTTTCTAGGTTAACTTTCCAAATAATGGAAGCTTACCATATAAAAGAGATTTAACATCCTCTTTTGTGTGTATGCATATGTGTGTGTGTGTAATACTTATTAAAGGGGGTTATATACTTTTCTACCTCTTTAAATAGGGTGTATTGAGCTCAGTTGAATTATTTATACTTTTATTCAATGCACACTGATTGGGTGTACATGAGGCCCTGCATATGGTTTCAGGTTTAATCTTTCCAACAACCCAATGAGGCAGGTCAAATTTTTCCTATTTTTTCATATGAAGAAACTGATTGTTCAGGAATTTAGGTAACATATTCAAGGTTACATAACCAACTAGATTTAAATCCCAGTTTTTGCTATTCATCCTACTTCTCTGGGTTTGATTTATTCCAAAAATATTTATCAAGAAACTTAATCAGGCAGTTCTATATGTTTTACTCCTATTTAACCCCAGAACAATCCTATGAAGTAGATATTATCTTTCCAGTGTTTAGGTGGTACAACCATAGTTCAGAATGGTGAAGTATCTTATACAAGATTGCAGAGCAATGGGTGGAACAGATGGGATTTAAATCCAGAGCAGTGCTCTTTCCAGTTGGAACCTGCCTTTTCTGCTATTTGAAGTCACCATTCCCATTCATCTCCCAACTTAGACACAATGCAGACTTTCCTTACTTCCCTCTGGTCTACGTTTTCTGTCTACTGACCTAGCATGTCCTGACAGCTCCATTGCAGAAATGTCTGTCCAGTCCACTTTCCATCATAGCCAGACCTATCATTTGGGGCCTGGATCATTTCAATTGTTTCCTTACTAATCTTTCCATAATCAAATTATCTTTCCTTAATCCAATCATATTGTCATGAGATAATCACCTTCAAATAAATAAAATATCCAATTACAATTCTTCCATGCTGAAAACTTCCTATTTCCTTCTTTATCTCCATGGAATAATATCTCAGTTCATTACTTTGGTATACAAAGCTCTTCTCAATTTAGCTGAAGGTTCATTTCTCATCACCCAACTCCCACCCAACCTAATTTCTCCATCCTCCAAACCCATCTGCTTTTACATGCCTCAGTACTTTTGTACATGATGTTTTTGTGACCTAGAGTAATGTTTTTAATTTTTTTCTGCCTGGAAAATTTCTACACATTTTTAAAGTTGCAATTATAATTATAAAATTATAAAATCGCTTCCCCAAGTGACATTGATCCCCCATTTCTTTGGTCCCGTAGTACTCTTGCATATCTTAGCATAGTGCAATAAGTGCTATCATAAGTACCTGCCTGTCTCACCCACAATATGCTCTCCTTGATAGCCAGGAACACCTGATACGTTATGTAAATGTTTTATTGGGAACAATGGACTGAAGACTCGGTTGCTAGACATTGCACAAGGGCAGTCGCAATGTAGTCATCATTTAACAAGAAGACAAGTCATCTGTTTATTGAATACTTACTCTAGCCAAATTGCTGTGCCTGGTACTATAAAGGGATCAAAAAGGAATAAGAGGTCAGGAAGGATAGAGAGGTGGAGGAGATGAAGAAATGTGTATCAATGGGTATGAATATACAGTTTGATAGAAGAAATAAGACCTAGTCTTAGATAGATCAATAGGGTGACTATAGTTTACAATAATCTGTTGTAAAGTTCAAAATAGCTGAAAGAGAATAATTTGAATGTCTTTAGCATAAAGAAAAGGCAAATATTTAAGATGTTGAATAATCCAAGTACACTGATTTGATCATTACAAATTATATGAGTATGTTACATTATCACATGTATTCTGAAACTATGTATATCTATCATACGTCAAAAAAAATAAATTTTAAAAAAGAATAAAATAATTCTTGCCCTTAACTCCTTACCCTAGTTTAAAATTTAAGCAGTAGTTTGGAAATTAGAACTTTTATGTACCTTCTTAATTGTTCCTAGTTTATACCTATTAGACTATAATCTCTTGGAGGATGGATTCTCTTTTCACCCTTATTTTTTCCAGCTCCTGTTATTGTTTCTGGCACATAGTAGGTATTCAAAAATCTTTGTTCAAAGACAAGTGAATAACATACTTTCAAAAGCTCATAGAGTAACCATATTTGAAGTACAAAGTGAGTGGCGTAGCTTCCATAGATATTATTGGAGATGAGATGAAGGTCCAGGTACTGAAAGATTTGGGTCAGTCTGAGACATGGAAAGATTTGAGAAAATTAAGAAAGTAATGATAATATAGAAACAAATATGAGAAAATGCATTGCATTAGTCATGTAATCCAACATAAATACTACTTAATAAACCACCCCCAAACTCAGTGTCTTGTAACAGCAAACATTTATTTTTACACTTGTAGGTCTGCTGATTCAGGCTGGCTTAGCCAAGTGGCTCTGTTTCAGGCTGCAGGTCACCTGAGTTAGGGTTGACTCCAAGCTGTGGTTTCAGTTCAAGTCTATTCCGCATAGCTCCATTCTTGTGGTTGACGTCTTGAGGAGAGATTACGTGCATTTTGGATGTGGGAGGGACATAAACAATTGTAACCAAGAGAATATGCTGTTACATTGATTCATTGGTTGTTCACAATTATTCATGCCCTCTTTTTAGTAGAATTATATATTCTCACCCTTTGCCATATGATTTTGCCAAACCTCCACTAGAGTAAATAGAGGATATTTACCAGCTCTCTTGATGTTGGGTTTGGCCATGTGGTTTGCTTTGACCAGTGAAATGTGGGTAGAAGTCACAGTGTGCCAGTTTCAGGTTAAGACCTCAAGGGGTATTGCTTTTTTGTTGTTGTTGTTGTTCATCCTCTTGTGCTCCTGCCCTCTGTCAGTCCAAGGAGGATGAGAGACATATGATATAAATTTAATCATCATCCAAAGCCTGGAGCCCAGCCAACTACAGTGAACATGAAAAATATGCCTTCATCGTTGTAAAACCCTAGGTTTACAGCAATAGTTGACTGATACAGGGGTGGAAGTGGACAGTAACAGCGAGTATTCAGAAGTTATGTTAGAAGGGGGCCAAAGACTCATTGAATGGAGGCATGACCAGGATATAGGACATAAGGACTGACGGAATAAAAAGGGGGCAAGGGAGAATGGTCAAAGCTGACTACATTGTTGATTCCAGGTTGAATGCTGGCACCAACTGGCTAAAATGACTACTTCAGTAACTATGAAATGTTCAAGCTAAGTGGGATCTTGAAATTATTTTGGATATTACAATCTCCAAGACAGAATTAACATACAGAATTATTTTTTTGGCCAGTATATTATAGATTTTTAAAATTTGAATTCAAATGCAGTAGGCAGGCCATATAGCCTCTCGTTCTTTACCGACCTACCCCTCCTTCTTCATGCTCCATACCTTTGAATGCATTTGAGCTTATGTCCCCTGGCAATCCAATTACCACTTATTCCCAAACATGTTGATTTAAAGATGGATGTGAGATATATGAATTATAATGGTGACAATAGCTGGTGTGAGTTTAGCCACTTATTATGGTTTTAGACATTGCTCTAAATGCATTATGTGCCTTATGTCATGAATCCCCATTTTGCAGATAGGGCAAAAGAAGTTTAAGTAACTTGCCTAAAGTCAACAGTTGGAAGTGGAAGAGTCAGGATTTGAAAAGTCCAGTTTATTGAACAGCTTCAACTAGGTCAGCTCAAACATAAAACAGATCATTTCGTGGGTAAACACTTTCTCTAGCTGGCCTAGTAGGAATCCCCCTTCCCTTCTTGATAGCAAATTCCTTAACTATATCTTGAGCAGATTCATAACTTCCCAGTCCCTTTGGGGTGTTAAAAGACTATCTAATTTAAAACTCCAGTGCCAACTCTAATCCATATCTTTCCCTTGTATGATCACCTGCCAGGCCTGGGGCTCAGAGGTCCTGAGAGGAAAGAGTGGTGGTATGCTCTGTCATTCCTCTCCGCTCTTGCACCTGGGAATGTGTGGCATGTCTGGGTGTACATGGGGGTGGGGACTGAGGTCATGATCTGGTTCTCTAGTTCCCTTTTCAAGATCTATGACCTTGGCATAGGGATGGTTGGGAAAATAAAGGAGGAGTGGCAGACATCTCTTGACTCAATTGCCTGGGTTTTAATTTTCTTTCTGTAAATTGGCTTTGCTTCTCTGCCAGACACAAACTGGCCTTCTATGTTGTTTGTATGACAGGTATCTAAATGCTGATTCTATGTATACTGTATCACATGTATAAGTTCTTTGAAGATAGCCTGGGAGGTAGGACTCTTCATATCCTATTATTCCTGAGTTAGACATTCCAGCTCTGGCTTTACCTTGCCCAACCCAGCTCCCACCCCTAACAGTGTACCTATAGCTTCTTAATCCTGGACCCTCTTGACTGGGTACCAGCAAGAATAGCTCCAGCCCAGCCAGATGTCCCAGAGGAAACTCACATAGCCCTGCCACACCAGTGGGAGCTCCAAGGCTGCCTACTTTCTCCAATGTAGTCTCTCTCACCAATTCTTTTCTCCAAGAAAGCATGAGACAGACCAACAAGTCAGCTGCCTGTGCACCCATCCAAACAGGGAATAAGAATGCCAATCTTCCCTTCCTGCAGGCATTCTCCAGTCATGAAGCGTCACTCACTTCTCACTTGGCTGCAGTATGGTTGAGAGAAGGAAGGGTGGCCCTAGAGCTCCCTCGGGCTGACAACTCAGGCCCAGCACTCTTGACTACTATGCCTCTGCCAACAGGGAGAGGTCTGCAATGTTGACCTTTGTCTGCTTAGAGCTGATAGTTCAGGCTACAAGGGTGGGTGACCTCTTGAGGGAGAGAACGAATGTAGGGAAAAGAGTTGAGTGCCAGAGACTCACACCATTGAGGAGCAGTCACATTTGAGAAATAGAGAA